GTTCTTCTTATGGCTAAAATTCCAGGCTTTGCTTTATACTGAAGGAATAGGCTGCGCTGCGCTGGGTGTGAGCACAAAACACAGATGAGCTCAGACGGAAGACTGTACAGAACCTCCTGTTGGATTTAGGCTACACGAATTAAATAAACACAAATTTGTGTTCGATTGTTTTATTTAAGTAGACCTTTAGACATAACAAGATGCGCCAGAAAGCGCTCCCTGTTATTTTACAAAAGCAATTTGTAACGTTTTGTTGTTATTGTGGAAGTATAGAAAATAAAGCAGACATTTCTTTCCTCTGTTATCGTGTAGCCTAAGGGATCGCGCCGGCGCCGCCGAACCAAGAAGAGCAGTGTTGTGCTTCATATGAGATGTATATTTGCAAGAAATATAGCCTATACAACAGCCAGGGCTGCGTTTCTCGATAACGACTGATCTTAGCACTTAAGAGCGTCTTCTACGAGTCATTTTACTATCGTTCGTTATTGTTTCAAGTGCGTTTCCCAAAAATGCACTTAACGCAGTCGTGTGTAGCCGTGCTTCAAGTGCTACTTAGGAGTCGCTATCTGTTTGTCAAGTGCTGAAATGTCACCATATAAAATGGCTCGTAATTGTAGTACACGCTCGTTTATTGAAATGTTAACCTAATGCTGCGTTCCAGACAACTCGGATATAATAACTATTATATTATATTATATTATATTATACGTATAATATTATACTTTACATAATAATATGGCCTATAATACTTTATATAAAAATATATAGTATATAATAGAGACGTTATTTCCGGGTCCAATACATTGGTTTTCGTGCACGTCAGTAAGTCATTGACAGATTACCCCCCCCAGTCTTTGAAGCATATTTAAATGACTTCTTTTATTCATTTTTTTGTTAAGTCATTTAATTTAGGTGTGTATTTCTATTGTTTCTGCCCTTTTTAATTATTTCATTTATAAATTGATAAAAAACGAGTAATAAAGTTTACAATAAAGTACAATCAAAACTTTATATTATAATCACATTGCACTTGAATAAAGTTAAAGGTGTAATCTGCCGATTGTCCTGCAGGTGACCGCATAAATCTATCTTCTTACGATGCACTTAGGGCTTTACCATTACTCTAGAGCACCCGTAGATCTGGGCTGCGTTTCCCAAAAGCTTCGTAAGCTTGAAAAAACGATCGTACGACTGATCATAATATTAAG